CCCGGAAAAGGAATCCATCAATTGTCTAACAACCGGGTTCCTACTTACTGCTAGATAAACAGTGGCATATGAAGGTAACGAAACATGCTTAACATTTCGCCCTGTTGTGGTAGAAATGCGTGTGTTTGTACGTGGGGAGGTGGGAGCACTATAAATCATCTTGCGTCTTGGGGGGCTGGCTTGGAAAACAAATTAATTTGCAAATCGCACTATTGAATGTGTGCTCCTGAATGATTAATTACTGGACAAAGTGATCTAAAAACTTTGAACAGTACAACTTATTTTCTATAAAGAAAATAATCATAATATTCTTCGCATTTGATAAAGCACCTTATCAGGTCTTCAAGACGTCTCAAAACTCTTCACAGAATATACTATGAAGCGAATTGAGTTTATTTTGTGGGCAAAATTATTTATTCATTTATTTATTCATAATAAATTTTATTCTGGTCAAAATTAAATCTCAAGGCAAATGGCAATAATTTACAAAATGGATTTTAAATTATTTTCATTTTATAACTAGTTTAGGATTGTCGCAAGCTTTCCATTGATAAAAAACACATGTGCAATTGTCATACTCAATAGCTCCCAACTTATCAGTCACCATTCTTAAAAGAAATAGCTGCGTTTTGGACTATTCATTCCCACTTGTAAGTCAAGAGCCAGGTTTGGAAACATGGTACTTCAGCCTTTTAGAAAACACTTTGAATGGGACAACACGTGGCCTTGTGTGGCTCCTCCTACTCTTGACAGCACCCTTGCACTTTCACAATGGCACAATAAAGAACATAATAACAAGGAGCACTTTCTCTGTCGATTGCCGGAACCTTTCAACCTCAAGTTTATGTTTGCATGAAAAGTGATTGTCCTAATCGCTGCTTCAGCAAGGCATTACCTCAAGGGGTTAATGCTGCTTAGGAATGATAAAAGATCTTAAATATTTTGAATAGATTTGGTCCTATGCCAGTGTAGGCTTATTACTGAACTGATGTTCTATGTTATTTGTTGCTGCTATGATAGTGTCACAAGGCATCCTTTTTGAAACGGGTTTGGCTTGTACTGTGATAAAAGAAACTATAGGAAAATCAAACTTGGATTTGTAGTTATGATTCTCTGAAGGTTAGAATAAGAGAATCACAGGTCTATGTGTAAAATTCATACAAGCAACTTGTCTCAATCAGCTTCAGTTATACAAAAGGGAGAGGGGTTGTAAAAAAGTGAAGCTTGAATGGACTGAAGACTCAATGGAAATAATCAATGTGGCGATACTAAACATAATACTACAGGCACTGTGCAGCAGGTGCCCTCAAAGGTCATTTCCAAATAACTGTCTTCAATAAGATGTCCATCGTGGCTTAGGCTATCAATACAGTGGATGCCTACAAACGTTATAAGCCTATTGGTTTAATTTCCGATGTTATGCCAAATTTGGTTCTCGGATTTCCCTTTTCTTGGATTTCCCTTTTCTGCTGCTGCAACGAAAACAAGTTAAAAATGCAGGGAAACATCACTTTCCAGCACATATAAAACATTGCAGAGTACGCAAAAGTACTAGTTTGTACCTAACTGTTGCATTTTGACAAAGACTCCTACTTTGTAGTGATAATACCTGATTAATAATAATCATAATAATCAATATGCATGTTTAACACCACTCTGGGTGAATATCTGTAATTGTAGGTAGTATATGATGTCAGATTGAGCAGGGAGTAAGAGGCACGCAAAAAGGCATTTTGCTAACTGTTTAGAAGACGGTTTTACAGTTTGGTGAAGTGTAAATGTGAAGGAATTCCACAAAAATTGATAGCTTTTTGCCATATGGGCAAAAGTTCAAAAAGAACTATCAGGTCCTTTGTCAGCTTGACAGGTTGCATTTTTTNATATCCCACTAACAGGCTGTTCCAATGTTAACAATTAAAATGATGAAGTCTATAAAATGAGTCTACAGTAAAAAATTACAAAATCTATCAACTCAACATTTAAAATTATTTTATGAAGTTTAGTGCTATGTTTTGCATTGGATAATTATAAAACTGTACCCAACAGTAAATGCTTTTAAAGTGTATACATTCAGCAAGCGTCGTTGTTGCAGCATTTTGGTATTGTTTTGGGGAAATAAATCACCAGAAAAGTGTGTTCCAACAAATCAGTCCACTACCAAAGATTCTCAAAAGGAATTTATTAGGACTGTGAAAATACAACAAAAAAATTCTAAAACGTCTAAAAGTAACTTCATTTCTGACAATCAAAAATTAAATCAGCACCATGCTTAATTGATATTAAATGGCAGTAAATCAGTAATAAATATTTTAGGAAAAAAGTTTCAAAACAGACTGGAAAGATAATGATATCACATTTTGACATTTAGCAAGTTTTACAAACAGACTTTATACGTAAAGCAAAGAATCTTACTAGCATACTATTTTTGGTTTTCTTTAATTGGTTCCTACTTTACACACTGTAAACAGTAAATTAATTCCAAATTTGATGACTTGCCAAAAATGCACTTCCTTTATGCACTACAGAACTGCTTTCTGAACAAGCATTTTTATTCAATAAAAGTGCTTTGCTTCAAAGGAGCTAGTAAAAGGTTGGAATTTACCAATTCATATTGTTTGGAACATTTGTTATAACTACTGTAATGTATATCAGTCTTGCTCGCAAAACAAAATGAGAAGAGCAAACTGGGGTGGGGGGGGTGGGGGAAAGAGTTACAAAAATACTGGAAAAAAATCCCATAGTGATTCTGTTATTGCACATCACTCATCGACTGAATTTGCTTTACAGCACCTATTGAATATGTGGCACCTTGCAAAATGGTGGCTATTAATGCAACAAACTTATGCTCTGTAACTTTTTTTTGAATAATACAGCCCAAGGCTAGCAATTTAGCTGTATTTAAAAAAATTACTGCAAAATCTAGGGTTGTGTTTTCAGATAGTTCTACTCTTAAGAGTCTACACAGATTTAGAGTTTGAGGAAAGCCATTTTGAGCCATATTGATCGTCGCTGCTTGTGTGAAAATGGCTGCATTTAAATGTTTTGTTACCATTACAATATGTTAAGGACTTCAAACTGGGTAGAATGGCTTTCAGTCAATAATATGCAAAACGGTATCAACTTGGCCTTGGTCTGATTAAAGTCTGGGTGCCTTTGAGCTGCTGCACTGCAAAGCTGCTGGCACTTGGAATAGACTGGTAAGCACACAAATTCAAAATCACGTACGTGAGTGGAGGTGGGGTAGATTTCAGATCGCTTCTCATATTAATAATTTACTCAACCATAGTTTGTTTATAAAAATGCAGTTGTCTATAATTTCTCTCTTCCCCCAAACTAATTTCCCACCTGTAAGGATTCTGCCAGGCAGTGAGCTAAATTGTTTTGCCCGCCGCAGAAATAGTATTGAACATCCCACGTTTCTGCAGAACTTTCAGATGTTTCTCTTATTAACTTAAAGTAGATGTTGAAAAAGAGCATTAAATTTAGCAGCCAAATCAAGATAGTTTATGTAAATTAAATGCCTATGATGCTGAATGCAATTTGATGAATATTTTAGCAAAATAACAACATCTATTTAAATATTCAGGACTTACTGCCAACACACACCAGTTTTCTGTACAGTTGCAATTGGGAGAGTGAAAGGGTTAGTGATGTTTATTCCCCAGTTTGTCACCAGAATAGTTAACACTGCTGTCAAAAGTTGTTGTACTACACAAATAGAACAGCTGTCCGATTTAAAGTAGAATTACAGTAGCACCTAGTTCCTTTTTGCAAGTGGTAAAAGGCAACTGACAGGGCAATTACTAGCAATGCCTGTTAAACTGAACATTATAAAAATACAAAAAAAAACTATGCATCAAATGTTACAATGAAACCACTTAATGGAGCACAACATAGTAATTGTTTTTGAATCTTGGAAATCCTCTACAATGGTAGATGAAAAAAACCTCTATAAAGTTTCACAACAATCAAGAAATATCCACAATAAGTGGCTGAACTGTTTCACTGAATTATGGACTACAGGTGTCTAACTGTAATATTTAATAGCCTTTAGATATGCCACAATTTACTGTACAAAAAATTGTATATAGAGTTAAAATTATTACTTTATGTACTGTTTGACTGATTCAAATTACGTCAGCCAGGAATTGTTCATACGCATTTTCAAAGAATAAAGCAACCCTTGCTTTACTTGCCACAGAAATGTTCTGAAAACTTCACCACGATAGTTGTAGAATTCTTACACAAATCATGCAAGAGCCAAATACTATAAACTATAACCACAAAGAAATTATCTCTATTCTCCCAAATGACAAGGTCAAAACTTAGCAAAGAGCCACAGAACAGCTTTTGGGAAAGCCCAGAAATAACAAGACACTTTTGAGTGATTTGAAAAAAAGTAAACTAAAATACATGGAACACTTCCAACTTGCCAGCAACAGATAATCCACATGAGTCACTAGTAGCCAGTAAGACATGTACCAAAATATTCAAAACACTTTAATACAGGTTGTACTACAAAAGGAAAAAAAATAAACCAAATGATGGGTAACGTGTTAATACTGTAATTCTATAAATATAAAGTGCAGAGTAGTCGGTGCCTTTAGTTTTCTAAACTGACCATATCAACCAAATGGGAAAATGTAGCCTCAAAAAGTTGGCCCCCCAAAAATGTCATTGACATGTCACTCACTTAGATTTGCACTCAACATTAACCTGACCCCTTCCCTCCACAATGCAGATAAGTGCAATTTCCTCTTCTTACAATGAACAGTAATTTAGGCAATGGCTTGCTACATGAATGCACTCACATTAAAAAGGTCCCTATCAGTTAATTGTGTACTGTCTGAGAGACTACATATGATTGACAACTAAATACATTAAAGAATACCAGTAACTAACATTCACAGTTGAGAAAAGTAAAAGCTAACTTAAAATGTGCTATTTGTTTTGTTACTCATTGGTTAACATTTGTCGGTAAAAATCAAACGACTTTGCAGTTTTCATTTAAATGCCTTTTTTAATAATTTGCTTCACGTTCACAGAAGTTTCACTGACCAAGTTTTATATGTTTAAGGTCCAGATGCAATGCATATTGTATAAAAGAGAGCACTTCTTAATAGTTTTACCTTGCATGAATAAACCTATGTACCTTTTAACTCTACAGACTTCTGCATTACATTGAACAAAGCTCAGACACACAGCATGCCTAGCCCTCATATATACACATCTCTAATCACAGGTATATAGGGTGTCAAATATACTATAACCTCCATATAATGTTTGAAATTTGGTAACAAAATGAGAAAAACTAAAAATATTATTTACGTGTTCTTCTAAAATATCTCTCATTTTGTGCTAAGTCAAATGTTAGCTCACATGAAAAGGACTCATTTCATTATAATTCAGCATATTATCTGACGATTGCAAACACTTTAATAGCTTGAACGTGTACAAAAGTCTCGGTTAATTAGGGAAATAAACACTCAGTTTCTCTTTTTTGTTTTAATCATCAAGTAGGAAACACAGTTCATAATGTTATTATTACTTAGCAGCTGCTTACGGTTTACACGGTTGATAAGTGGACGAACATCCAGCGATGGGTGGATGGATGGGGGTGACAAGTCAAGTCGAACTGTCAAGTTGTGGAGGTTTTATTTTGGGTGGGCGATGCTCCCTCGGAGTTAAACAGTTACAGTTTTTTTTTATACAGTAAGTGTTTTTGTTGGTTTTTTTATATAATAATAATAATTACAGCTGTAATCAGTCTTCCTCCCCATCATCGTCGCCGTGGGCTTCTTCCTCGTCCTCCTGCTGCTGTTGCTGCTCACACCTTTTCTCCCGGATCTTCTTCATCTCCTCGGCGTATTTACTGAAAGTGTGGCCGAACTTGGCCCACACTTTGTAAGGTATCGTGATGGAGTTGCGGTAGGAAGGCTTCACCTCGCTCACCCGCATGAACACGCCGTATTTATTGGAGCCCACGTCAAAGAAAAACCGCTTGTTGTCCACAGTCAGAGACGTGCCTTCGGGCAGCTCTGCCGGCTCCTCCTCCACGCCGTAGTCGTCGATGAGCTTGGCCAGAGCGTCGCGGAACTCGATCAGGCCCTGAGCGGGCAGAGCGATGGTCTGACCCTGCGACGCCAGCCCGTGGCCCCGGTTTACCGTCTGGCGGACCCGCAGGAAGCGGCCGCGCTGGTTCTCCTTCAAGTCCATGTAGTACTTGCGGTTTTCCCGCACGAGAAACTCGCTCTTCAGCGCCCGCCGGGGCTCGTCCGACGCCTGCAGGTCGGGGTGGCTGGGCCCCAACTGCGCGTAGTGCTCGATGAAGTCGCCCAGGTAGTCGCGGAACTCCACGGCCACCGACATGGACAGAGTCAGGCGGCTCTTGTTGCCGCCCGCCCCCACCTCGGCGATCTTCAGGAAGCGGCCTTTGGCGTTCTGCTTGACGTCCAGGTAGAAGCGCTTGTTCTGGATGTCCACCCGCTTGGACGCCAGCTCCTGCGTCTCCTGCTGCAGCTGCTGCTGCTGCTGCTGGTGCTGCTGGGAGCCGGAGCCGGCCGCCCCTTGCTCGCTGCCGCTGTCCCTATCCGCCATGTTGGTCGCCTTTCCTTGCCTTCCCTTCCCTTCCCACACTCTCTCTCTCTCTCTCTCTCGCTGCCTCACTCCGCTCGCGCTCCGGCCCCGGCTCTTCCCCCTCTTCTCGCGATATCTCGGCCCCGGCGGCGGCTCCCACTCAGACCACAGGGGGACGATGAGACATTCCGTGACGACGCCGGCTGTTGGTCGGGCCACCGCATTGGTGCACGCAAGGCGGACGCTGATTGGCTGCCCGGCTTGCAGACCACGGCATTCCGTGACGGCGCGCGCCATTGGCCAATCCGCGCGCGCGAGCAGGCACGCTGGTTGGCCGACTCAGTCCGCGCCAGCCAATCACCGCCGACCTGTCAGGCGCCACTCCGGGAGGCAGAGAGGCGACAGGATTCTGTTACGACGATCGCCACTGGCCGAGCCCCCGCATGCTCCAGCCAATCAGCGTCCGCTTTGCATGCGCCGCTCAGCCCTTCTTTGCAGGAGAACAGCTGATGATGTCTTGTGTGTCTGCCCTGGAAGCCCTGCAAAAGTGATGTGGGGGGTGGGGGGTGCAAACCTTTTTTTTTATTTGTAACCCCTTCTTTCTCTCAGTCTCTCCCCCTTCCAACTCTCCTTTTTTTTTGCTCACCTGTATGTTTATTCTCTCTGTCCCTCCCCTTTTGCCTCTCCTTTCTTTCCCTCTTTGCAATTTTTTGGAACAAAATGCTAATTTGGACTGTTATTTTTTTGCCCCCCCCACCCCCCCCCAAAAAAAAACGTTACATTTTAATGTGTTCATTTTTGTGGGGGGTTTTAAAAATGGTAATAATAATTTCGCAGCTTTTGTTAAACCATCAATTTGACCATTAACTATAAATACGTGATCACAATTGTCACACGTTATGTGCAAAAACCTTATTTTGAAACATATACATAATTGCAACTAATAACTAAAATGGCTGCATTTTCCCTTCTAATCACAGAATATAGATTATTGACGGTTTATACGTTAATAAACCATCCAGACCAAACCGACTTTGCCTGTCCACTACAGTATTTCATTTTGAATTCGAAACATTACCCCATTGAGGTAAAATGCACTAAAAAAAATCAACAACACCGCAAATTGCCCGTGAAAACTTACCTAAATATATTGTTTAAGCGTCATAAAATGCATCGTACCTTTTTGCAGCATTTAACTTGCTTTAATCTCACCGACTCTGGCTCCATTTAAGTGGGGAGCGATACAGTCGCCACTCTTGTGTTGCTATATTTTATTTTTGTAAATGAATTGAAAGCAGCATCTCTCTTGCAATGAAACATCATTAAAAAAATAATTTGGCATTTTAGGTGAAACTTTTATCGTGAAAGAATGGTTTATCTCATTGTGTTGTTAATGTTATTCTCTGAATATTGCCGTCAAAGCATATCTCAGTTTTGTATCCTTCCAATGTTGTACCTTTCCACAGTTACTTATATAATATGCATTATTGTATAGAAGTAGAAAGGAAAACTGTGGACGTATTCTTGGCCTTAACTTCCAACACATAAATATTTAATATGATCACCAAAAAATTAACATTTGGAGCTCTTAAACAGACAGACAACTACAACTTGCTTTGATATAGCGCCTGTTACTAAGTTTAGGGTAATATCTCGAAATGCTTGACTGACACAACGCCAGTTGCAAATAGGGTGAAGGAGGGAATAAGGTAGAAGAGGAAAGTTAATTAGAGAAGTAAAAATAAAAGTTAATTAGAGGCTGTGGCTGGGATTCTACGAGAATTTAGTTGTGTGTTTGCTGATCTGTCATAACTATCATAGAGCTCTCCAGGATGCAAACCGCTGAAATATCAATATTTATATGCCAACATTGTTTAATAATAACAATAATAATCTTTGCGTTAGATATAGCGCCTTATCAAGACTTCGAGACGCCTCAAAGCGCTTCACAGAATATACTGCAAAGTATATTGACTGTATATTTGTGGGCGAAAGGCGGCAGCCAATTGCGCACAGCAATGTCCCACAAACAATCGTGAGTTGAGTGACCAAATTATTACTATTATTTGATTATTTTTGAAGGGATTATTACCCCCGTAAATTTGATCAACAACTGGCAAAAAAAANCCTTCATCTTCTTGGTTCAAATGTGTATTATATGTTAGGAAAGCACTGTTCTCTGCAACATTCGTGATTCATACATTGAAATCAATGCCCCTTTTCCACGAAACCCTCGCGGAAGTTGCTTTAAAAAGTTATTAAGAAGTTGATAACAAATTAGTAATGAGTTAATAACAAGTTAACAAGGTGAGTTATCTGATTTTCTCTGCCGGAGATTAAGACTAGACGTTACTTGGAGTCGGGGAGTGGTATTAAAAGGCAACACTAAATGGATTAGTATCTGCAAAAGAAAATTCATCCATAGGGGAAATTGGTTGAGGAATGGGAACCTCGTTAGGAGTTGTCAACCATCACTTCTTATTCCAAAGGAAAAAAAAGTTGCACAGAACTTGGTTTGTGTTTGGTTACCACTGTCTGAAGCCTTAACCCCCCCCCCCCCCCCCCACCCCCCACCCCAAGTTGATTTGGTTAATTGGGCATTGATACGTTCGAGAAGAATGCATTGCAATCAATTTCTTACGTTTTATGTTGGTTGTAAAGGGCCAGAACTGTGGCAGTTCAGACAATGACAAGTAGTTTGCACACTTTTCGATGAAATATTTTCTCATATTAAAACTCAAAAACATATCTGTAACTAACGTCGGGCCTTTAATATCTTTAAATATATTTATATATTTAATAACAAGTTGCGTTGTGTAAGTTCGCACTGTGTGAACCAATACTCTTTACCCCCAATGGAAACTGATTAGTGTTTAATGCGAAAAATAAAAATAAAAATGTGTGTTTTGAGAATGTCAAACCTCGCAGTTTATTATGTAACAAGTCCAATTAATACAGACTCAGTTATATGTGTCATCTTTCCTTAAAATAATCGGATACGAATCCACTCAGACGAGCGAGGCACAAAGTCAACGCAATTATTTTATATTATATTATTTATCTGGAGGAACTCGCGCTTTACCTTTTACTTAAAATAAATTATTTTGTTTTTATTTGCTTGAAATTAGACCGAACTTTAAATGCCTTGAAGTTGATTTGCTAAAGGGTGGTTTGGTGTCTAATAAATAAATTAATTGCTTTACCTTTTAATGTAAAAGTCATGGACACGTTGAATGAACCGCCTTTAACTTTGACATAACTTTGGATACCATCCAAAGTCAATGGATGGAATCTACCAGTCACATGTTAATTTGTAAGCCCTTTCGCAAGCTTAGTTAGCGAATCGTTAAATTGTTGGATTCTGCCTCCATCCAGACTTTATAAGGAACCAACCATGGATCATGGCACCAACCATCAAATAGGTTAAGACAAACGTTATTATTATTATTATGATATATTATTTATTATATTATTAATATCATCAACATTCGCACTTTTGGAAACTTTTTGATAAACTTAACCATTGGTCCTAAGGTGCCAATGCAATTTACAATTAAGTAATTCATTGATTTAATATTGATCCTGTGTGTAAAATATATATATATATATATATATGTCAGTGAGAAAAGTATATCTCAAATGTTTCCTGAATCAGTGACGGGAATGGAGTGTTTGCCTTCGTTATAGACATTGGGACCCAGTTATATTCCCCAAAAGAAACTACAAACCAAATGCTCACCTAAAACACCTCGGGATTCCGAAAGGCAACGCCATAAAGTGAGGTGCGTTGAGCTCGAGGTTAGTAATCAATGTAAAAGTTGTGTCATTTGTACCTGAGGAAGATAGGCATTGCTCATGGGGTCACGAGAGGGTTAATGTTGTACCACAGTCGCTGTATAAGCGTTTCAACAGTAACTTTGCCTTCGTGTTGGTCACTTCTCACCGTTTTAGCAAAGATGTCTTTGACATTTATATTCCTGCGACAATATTTTATCTTGTAAGTAAGTTTGTGTGTGTGTGTCGTTGATTTCACATCCACTACACGTTAAAACGTACCAGATAACTGCTGTCGGTTTTAATCGGATATATGGATATATACGGTATATATCATATATATAGTACATAATATATTATATTATATATATATATATACAGTTCATGATCTTAATTCAACAAGCGATAATATTTTCAGAATAGATCGCAAGAACTCAGGTCAAAAAAATGCAGAACATTCCTTCCTGATGCATAAACCAGCTTTAAAAATATAATGTACCCCCCACCCCCCACACCCCCTCCCCACCCACTCCCCCCCCACCAATAGATATTGAGTGAGAGTCCCCAAAGAGATCGCCCTCTGTGTCTGACTGGAATACGGTTTTATTCAATAAAATCCAAAGCACACAGTAGGTTCGTTTTGATTCCCCCCATCACCACCGCCCAAAACATGGTCCAATGCCTTTTAATTAATGTAATGTATGTCGAGGGTTGAATTTTATCATCTGAATGTGTCAATTTTCTATAAATAAGTCTCTCCAATGCACAGAGCTCCCAAACAGCCCGTTATCTCTCTCTCTCTCTCACACTCTCACACACTCTCTCTCTCTCAGTCTCTCCTCTCTCTCTCTCAGTCTCTGTCTGACTCCCCGGGGAGTGTGTGTCAGTGTCTGTGTCACTCCCCGGTGTGTGATGACAATTGGGGGTAAAAATGAGGGTTAAAAATATAACAAAACACTTTGTGATTTTGCGCCAATTGAGAGTGTCCGTCCAATAAGAATAACATTCCTTTCGAGTTCGTAAACCGTCTGTGTAACTTTGGGGACTGTCTTCCTGGGGGGAGGGAGGAGGGGGGGAGAGAGGAGAGGGGGGAGGGGGGGATCTGGTATTTTCCATCACCTTGACATGTATGTGTGGATGGAGGGAGCTGTGTGTGTGATGGAGACTTGACTTGCGCTACAGTAGAGGAAAGACAATGGGATAATAACGAAAGGTGAGCACACGCCGCAATAGCGAGGGAAGCCGAGGGCAATGTGCAAAATGAGCAGCTTTTGTACACTGCAGCCACCAAACTGCCCCTCAGCAAAGCAACTTCAAGGCCTTTAAAGTTTGGTCTAATTTCAAGCAAAAAAAAAATCAAACGACATCACTGATTTGAATTAAAATATTCCCCCAGAACTTTGGTT